AAATTACCCATAGTGCCCAGGGATGTGCAGATTAGGGTGGATTGGCCATGGGAAATTGTCCCATAGTGTGTCCAGGGATGTGCAGGTTAGTGTGGGTTAAGCATGGGAAATGTGGCGTTACAGGTATAGCGTGGGTGTGGGTGTGATGCTGTTTGGAGTGTCAGTGTGGACCTGATGGGCCGAATGGCCTGTTTCCATTCTGTAGGGATCCTATGTAGCCTTTTGACTTGTATTTGCCAAATGGAACAGTGGACAATATGATCGAAGGCCCCCTTCAGCCCATCGAGTCTGTGCCAGCAATGACTCCGCACTAATCCGAACTTCCTAATATTTCAAGGCTCATCCACATATTTTCTTTAAGGTTTTAAGGTTTCTGGCTTCCACTACCTCCTCAGGCAGCGCATCCCAGATTCCCACCACCCTCTCTCATACGCCACGGAAATAGACCCTTCGGCCCAACCAGTCCGTGCCGACCATAATCCCAAACTAAACTAGTCCCACCTGACTGCTCCCGGCCCGTGTCCCTCCAAACCTTTCCCACTCACAAACCTATCCGAGTGTCTTTTAAACATTGTAACTGTGCCCACATCCTCAGGAAGCTCATTCCAGAAGAGAACGCAAGATTTTTTTTCTCAAATCTGTATCCTCTGTAACCCTACTGGAAGGTATGACATATATGGGTCTTAGCAAGGAAAGGTGGGGGTTGGAGGGGAGCCGCGATACCTTCGCAGTTGGCTAGTTTATGCTCTAACCCTAGATGTGAGGAATAGCCTGTTGACATGGCCAGAAAACGTTTGGAATTCTAACATGGTCTCTTTCAAGGATTGAGGAGGCAACATTAACTGGGAGAGATGGGGGCGACAGGGCATGTGGCATTTTTTTGATGTCTTTTGTGAGCTTGGCCTGCTTCTAAGCCCGGGAGAGGGGGCAGGGTCAACCCTTGACCACTTGAGGCTACCATGCGCGCATGTACCAGCAGAGGGAGTCCACTGGGATGACGACAGGAAAGGATCTGGATCTGGCCTTTCTAATTCTGGGTTGGCTCAAACATTGAACCTTTTCTGTCACAAGAGCTTCGCAACACTCTTTCCTTTCTCGGGGTGGGGGGGTGCAGTGTGGGGGGAGGCCGTGTTGGGTCTGGCCAGGCTCCTCCAGCTGTTCTTCCATACACACACTCACATCAAGCCCCAGTTTGGGAATTTGGCCGTTGTTATTTTACACAAGTCCGTTCGGATGCTAACCCGCATTATTGCTAACATTAAGCCATCGACCAGCATTGGAGTCAAGACTCACTAGGGTTGATCATAGAATTCCCACAGTGTGGAAGTGGGCCATTCAGCCCATTGAGTCCACACTGACCTTCTGAAGAACATCCCACCATATCCCTGTAACCCTGCATTTCCCATGACTAACCCACCTAACCTACATGTCCCTGGGCACTATGGGTAATTTATCACAGCCAATCCACCCTAACCTGCACATCCCTGGGCACTATGGGTAATTTAGCACGGCCAATCCACCCTAACCGGCACATCTTTGGACTCTGGGAGGAAACCCACACAGGCACAGGGGAGAATGTACAAACTCCACACACAGTCACCCCCGAGGGTGGAATTGAACCCGGGTCCTTGGCGCCATGAGGCAGCAGCACTAACCACTGAGCCACCCGTACTTGACATTTTGAGATCAAGACCTCCGATTTCTCAACAACTGTCTCTGTGGTGTGCCAAGCACCTCTTAATGCGTTTACCACCCAATCCTGACCTTTTTTTCCTCTAGTAAATCACCTTCAGAAGCTGTTGACTGTTGTTCACATGTGCTCCTCATCCTGGGCAACACCTGTCAAAAAGTAGGCTCAGAAAGCAAGAGAAGGCAGGCTAATCGACTGCAGCAGGCATCGCCCCGACTTTGCAGTGACTGCCATGCCATTGGGCAATAGTAATTACGTCAATACCAACCTGGTGCCCAGTGCCAGTCCGTTTCATTTTATTCACTCAGTGGGGATCAATGGTCAGGTCAGCATTCAATCCCCATTCCCAATTATCACTGAACTGAGTGGCATGGCCCAGCAATTTCAGAGGGTGGTTAAGAGTCTGCCTTGTTTGCTGTGGGTCTGGAGTCACGTATATACCAGCTTGGGTAAGCAGATCTCCTTCCCTAAAGGCATCATGGACAGTGCAGGTTAACTAAGATTACAAAAAGATCTTGATCAATTGGCTCAACGGGCTGAGAAATGGCAGAAGGAGTTTAATTTGGATAATGCGAGGTGTTGTATTTTGGTGAAACAAACAAGGGCAGGACTTATACAACTAATGGTACGGCCTTGGGTAGTGTTGTAGAACAGAGAGACCTAGGGGTTCAGGTGCATAATTCTTTGAAGTTTGTGTCACATGTAGACAGGGTGGTTAAGAAGGCATTTAGCACGCTTGCCTTCATTGCTCAGGCCTTTGAGTACAGGAGTCGGAGACGTCATGTTGAGGTTGTACAGGACGTTGGTGAGGCCTCTTCTGGAGCACTGTGTCCAGTTCTGGTCTCCCTGTTATAGGAAGGATGTTATTAAGCTGGAGAGGGTTCAGAAAAGATTTACCAGGATGTTGCCGGGAATGGAGGGTTTGAGTTATAAGGAGAGGCTGGGACTTTTCTCACTGGAACGTAGGAGGTTTAGGGGTGACCTCAAGAGGTTTATAAAATCATGAGGGGTATAGATAAGGTTAATAGTGTCTTTTCCCTAGGGTGGGGGTGTTCAAGACTAGCGGTCGCATTTTTAAGGCGCAAGGAGAAAGGTTTAAAAAAGACACGAGGGGCAATGTTTTTTACACCGAGAGAGGTTTGTGTGTGGAATGAGCTTCCAGAGGAAGTGGTGGATGTGGATACAGTTACAACGTTTAAAAGGCATTTGGGTAAGTACATGAATAGGGAAATGTTTGGGGGGATATGTGCCAGGAGCAGGCAGGAAGGACTAGTTTAGTTTGGGATTATGGTCAGCACGGACTGGTTGGGCCGAAGGGTCTGTTTCCGTGCCGTGTGACGCTACGACTGTTTTTAACGACAATTGCAATTCTCGTAGGCTCCAATATTTAGCTTTCTAATCCCGATTTATGAATTGAATTTTAAAAGCTCTGCCAGCATCCAGGGTGAGATTCAGATCCACTCAGTCACCACCACAAACGGTCATCCACCTTTCTGAATCGATTGTGTCCCGTAACGCCACGATCTCCCGCAGACTGGTCACCGTTTGTACGAAGGGTCTAGGCTTTGGAGTCAAATGCAAACTTGAGTTCTGCGAACCGGGGAGAGAGAGTTGGCACTGAGGGCCAAAAAATCTCACGCCAAATTTTCGTCGCTAAACTCGCAGACTGGGCCCACTATTTGGCAGAAATCTGGCCGAGAATAAGTCAGGCATGGGGAATGAAATCAGTCAACGTAGCGATGTGGGGTTCATAAGTTCTGCGAAAAACGCAAAGCGAGCACTGATAGGGCTAGAATTGAAAGGTAAAGTTATATTAAACTGTATCGAGCACTTAGAAGGCTGCGTTTAATAAAGGAATCTACTTTAAAGGAAGCAAATTTTACGGTAATCTTTGAACATCAGGGGCGTGACATGTTATTGTCCCCAGGTATAAACTGAAACCAAGTTCTGGCAGAACCAGTTTCCCATCTTCAACTAATCTGTAGTACTCAGGGTAGAGCCTGGTGTTTCATCTGCTTTGAGCTGCAGTACCTTTCTGCGGCTGGGAAGTGTTCAGACTATTTGGAGGTGACTGGGCGGAAAGGGGTGGCTGGTCTCTCTCTCTCAATCTCTCTCTCTGTGCCTTGGCCAACGTTCATCCCACAAAGGGCACCCATCCACCCGAAATGAATAACACCAGCATAGTCGATCATTTTTCTCATTGCCATTAGTGGGAGCTTGCTGTGCAGAAAGTGGCCCCATTCCCCCCCCCCCCCCCGCCCCCCCACCAACAAAACGAGAGCAGCGAGGGAAACGGGAGCGGGGAGTAGGCCATTCGGCCCTTCGAGTCAGCACCACCATCGTCAGTTTGGCTGCCCCCATGTCAGAATCGCCTGCCACCACCCAAGTCCCTCTCTGCTTTGTCCGTTCCCCTCGATCCGTTTTTCTCTTCCGGCTTCGGTTTTTCCTGGAGCAACACAGAGGATGACGCCCTTCCCAAATACGCAGTTATTGATAGAGTTTTGATAGAGCTTCAAGAAAGGACCACTCCCTGGAATCGCTCCCAGCTTAGCCCCTCTCAGTCTCTTCACTTCCCCCCGGGTCAAGCCCCAGGCCTAACGGGTCGAGCACAGGAAGCGCGCATCAGTTATCAGGCAAACGCAGAACGCCGAGCAGTCCTTTTTCCGCTGGGGAAATTCTCGGGAAATTCTCCGTACTATACAAATAAAAACCCCGGTTTCTGCCTTTTTCCCCTGACGGGGAAGGGCTGAGGGGTTGAATGTTTTCCTCTGGTACAGCCACGTTCCTAATTGCGCGGTGCGTGCAGTTTGAAGTTGTTGCCGGGCGGAACAGGCCAGGGCTTAGATCTTTCACTGAAACCGCAGATTTTGGGAGCGTTCTCTGTTGGGGCTGACCGTTTTATTGTTGCTTTCCCAACCAACCCCCAACCGTTGACTGTTTGCGCTCTGTCTCGTTAGGAGGAGGGCTGGGTGGCCCAAGATCGCGTCAGGAGCCTCCAGAGTGACGTGGAAGGAGTGAAGACCATCATGTCGGAGAACGTCGAACGCATCCTGGCCCGTGGCGAGAAGCTGGACGACCTCATGACCAAGACTGAGGACCTACAAGCCAGTGTAAGATGGCAACCCTTAGGCCTAGGGTCAGGCTTAGAAGGACAATCGAGCGAATCAACTGTAATGTGACCTCCAGCGCGAGGTGGCGATGGTGAGGAAAAAATGGAGGGGGGGAGAGCAAGGACAGAGGGGGTTTCCTTGTCGAACATAACCCCCGTGCGGTCAATCGTAGTACATAATGTAAAATAGTTACTTGTTTGTCCTTAACTTTCCTTTTGCAACAAAAATAAATGAAAAGGAAATGCAGAAATGCCCTTCGGCCCTCCTAGCCTGTGCTGGCACATTTTGCCCTTCCATACTAAAACTGTCTTCACTTACAGGATCTGTATCCCTCTATTCCCTTCCTATTCACATAGGGGAGGCGATGGCCCTCGTGGTATTATCGCTGGACTGTTAATCCAGAGACTAGATAACATTCTGGGGACACAGGTTCGAATCCCGCCATGACAGATGGTGGAATTTGAATTCAATGAATATCTGGAATTAAGAATCTAATGATGACCGTGAATTCATTGTCGATTGTCAGAAAAGCCCATCTGGTTCACTAATGCCCCTTTAGGGAAGGAAACTGCCATCCTTACCTGATCTGGGCCTACATATGACTCCAGACCCACAGCAATGTGGTTGACTCTTAACTGCCCTCTGGGCAATTAGGGATGGGCAATAAATGCTGGGCCTGGCCAGGGACGCCCTCATCCCGTGAATGAATAAAGAAAAACATGTTTGTCCAGGTGCTTCCTAAATGCTGCTACTGTGTCTGCTTCCACCACCTCCTCTGGCAGCACGTTCCAGGCACTCACCACCCTTTGTGTGAAAAACTTGCCTCACACATCTCTTTCAAACTCCCCCCTCCGCCCCCCACCACACCTTGAACCTGTGTCCCCTAGTAACTGACCCCTCCATCCTGGGGGAAAAAGCTTCATACTTTCCACTGTATCCATAGCATTCACAATTTCATAAACTTCTATCAGGTCGTCCCTCAACCTCCTGCGTTCCAGTGAAAACAAACCCAGTCTATCCAACCTTTCTCCATAGCTAAACCCCTCTCCATACCAGGGAACATCCTGGTAAACCTTTTCTGTCCCGTCTCCAAAGCATCCGCATCCTTCTGGTAATGTGGTGACCAGAACTGTATGCAATATTCTAAGTGTGGCCTAACTAAAGTTCTATAAAGCTGCAGCATAACTTGTCTGTCCTTATACTCAATGCCCTTTCCAATGAAGGCAGGCATGCCATAGGCCTTTTTACTCCCTTATCTACCTGCACTGCTACCTTCAGTGATCTGTGGGCCTGCACACCCAGATCCCTCTGCATTTCAATGCTCCTGAGGGTTCTGCCGTTCACTGTATCATTCCCACCTGTACTTGACCTTCCAAAATGACCAGGATGCCAGTGGAATAAAGAATCCTGCTTCACAATCTTTGGGCTGATCTCACGTCACGCTACATGGTGCCTCCTCTGAGCAAAGTACACCCGTCCCTAAAACTGAAGGTCAAAATCAGTACTGCACAGAATATCCCAGGTCAACACATTCACTAAGCAGTAGCCCTCATAGTTAAAACTTAACTCAGGAGGTGACAGTGTGAAGATGAATATGTTTGTCCCTCAGGATATCCTATGACCGAGTGATCTGGGTCTGAGTCTTTTGGAGTTCAGAAGAGTGGGAATCTTGAGAAGCACTCAAAAGGGGTGGGAGATTGATCTCCTATGGGATAACGGGAGGTGTGGGGGTAGGGCAAAGGGTCAAGGTAAAAGGTTGGCCATGTTGAATTGCGACGAGGGGAAATTTCTTCACGTGACAGGGTGGTAAATCTTTGGGACATCTCCGGTATCGAACAGATTTAAAGCTGGGATTGTTGTTGCCTTGGGGAAATCGAGGGATATGGGTGAATGGACAGGAAAAGTGGAGTTGAGGCCTAGAATCAGGCCTGAGCACAGTGAATGGGAGGGGGCAGGCTCGAGGGGCCTGAATAGCCGAATCCTGCTCCTTTAGGTTTACTTATCGGTTAAAACGCTGACCCTAACTGTCCCTCCCTTGCAACCTTCTGTATCAAAGGTCACGTTGTGCAGATCAATGCTGTGTAATTCTGGGACATTCTGCACAGTTGCTTCATTTATAAGGAAAGGTGCACTTCATTCGAAGGAGGCACGGTGTCGCGTGACGTGAGATCTGTACACACATTCAGCCCAAAGATTGTGAAGCAGGATTCTTTGTTCCCCTGGCATTTCAAACAGGAAGGAAAATTAAGGATAAACAAGGAACTGTTAACAACAATTGACCGAATGGGAGAGATAGTAGGAACTGCAGATCTGAGATAACAAGGTGTAGAGCTGGATGAACACAGCAGGCCAAGCAGCATCAGA